ATTATGCTCGCCAACCGTGACCCCTGCTTCTGGCTGAGCAGTGCTCCCCCTGTGGGAGTGCACTGACCACCAGGTGGCAGCTCCTGCATTGAGCATCTGCCCCCTGGTGGTCAGTGTGCATCATAGTGACCTGTCATTCCGACGTTTGGTTGATTTGCATAATAGCTTTTTATTATATAGGATTTTGTTTCAATACTTCTCTCATTCTCATGAACTTTATATTCTTTCAATTCTTCTCTTCATTATGTTTTTTTCCTAACTTGTCATTATCCAAGTTCGGCCGACCCTTCAAGATACAGTTCATGGGTTGCTCTCTCAGTTTATATTGATGAACTCCTTCCCTCCACCTCTCCCCTACTGCATGTACACACACACACACACATGCGCACACACACACACATCAGACATTGAGCACCTACAATGTGTCAGGCACTATTTTAGGAACTGCAATTATAATATTATTTTGCATATATAATTCTTTTTTTGTTCTAACCATATACTACTATCAATTATAATTGAATTGTGTCATGTCTGTTTTTTTACCTCTTAATGACAGTTGCAAATTCCTGGAAATCAATGCTCTATTTACAGTTCTTTTATATCCTCCTCAGATTTCTCTTCCTTGTTATGCATGCTGACAACATTTAGTAAACATAGTTTGAAAAAAAATTTTTTTTCTTTGTTTCAGGAGTGGCAATGTGTACAATCAAAAGGTTGCTTTTTCTTAGAAGAAAATGGTGAAATCATTAGTCATCAATACAGGATGCAAATAGCTCAGAGGTCCATGGTTTATTTAACAATTAAACCATTAAATCTGAGCCAAGTTGAAGGCAAGTTTAAAATTTTTACATATTTTAACCCTCTTTGAAAATACTTATGTAAGTATGTGAAAGTTTTATTTAGTGAAGAAGATAATCTGCCCAAGAAACATCTGGTTACATACATTTAAAGAGAGAGTTAGTTTATACATTGACTGTTACCATATTTTGCGAAGCAAGTAAGTTGCTTTTTTGTATATGTTTAAAGCATGTTTTATTTTAATTCATTTTAAAATCTTATGACATAGAATTAACTTTTCATTTGCTAATTTATCCTTAGCTTTGTCACTTACCAAATTTTAGAATTAATATGTTAAGAGAAATTCTATAGAAATGTAATTTAAGACAATATGAACTGCAAGTATTTTTTAATAATTCCAAAGCCATATGTCGTATGATTTAGACAATTCTTATTAATAATTGTTGCATTCATGCTAATATTCTCTTTTTGGACACAATGCTAGGTAAAAATTAGTAATTTCCAAGTGTCTAACGTAGTTATTATGTCATTTAATAATTCCCTAGAAACCCTTATAATGTTGATTGTTCTAAATTTCAATGTTTTCTTTTATTATGTTTACATATAAACATTTTCTAACTAGAGGGTTCTTCCCCATTCCCATTCTTTTTTCCTCCTAATGTAGATTCACTGTATATCTTGTAGGATACTTACAACATTTGGTAGTTGATACTTTTAAATAGTAATTGGAATAGTCATTTTTTAAATAAATGTGTCAAGATAGGCCTGCAAATTCAATGTAGTTGTTAATTCTCCATATTCTTACAAAAAAGATATCCTTATTCATTTATTTCTCAAATATTTATTGAGGATCCATATACTTAGTAGCATTTTAGGTGCTTAAAATACATCAGAATACAAAAAAGACAAAAATGCCTGCCCTTATGAACTTACATTCTAGTGGGAGAAATAATAAATAATAAACATGATGAATAGTAAATGACATGTATGTTAGAAGGTGATAAGTGCTATGAGAAAAACATAGGGGAAAGGGTGCATTGTGAATGCTGAGGGAATATGGGTTGCCACTGAAATGGAGTGGTTAGGGTATGCTTCATTAAGAAGCTGATATTTGAGCAAAGACTATGTCAACTGCTACGTAACAAACTATCCCAAAACTCAGTAGCTTAAAATAATTAAACATTTGTTTGCTCATGAGTTTGTCTCCTGGATAGTTCTTTTGGTTTGAGTTAGGCTTGGCTTTTCTCTGTAGAGCTCATGCATGCATCTGTTGTCTGCTGCTGGCTAGCTGCTGTCTGGCATTACTGATCTTGGCTGGGCTCTCTACTCTGTATGGGGTCTATGGGCTCTCAGTTGGGACAGTTTGACTCTGCCTCATTTAATCTTTTTCTTTTAAGATTTTTTTCTTTTAGAGAGAGGCAGGGCGAGGGGAATTAAGAAACATTGATGCAAAAGCAAAACCGATTGGCCACCTCCCAAACTCTCCTTATCTGCAACCTGGGGATATGCCCTGACTGGGAAGAACCAGCAACCCTTTGGTACATGGAACAAAGCCCAACCAACTGAGCCACACCGGCCAGCGCCTCATATATTCTCTTATCATCTAGTTAACTAGTCTGGACTTGTTCTCATCGTGTAACAGGGATCTTTGAGAGAAAGCAGAAGCACCATAGGGCCTCCCGATGCCTGGGCTCAGAAATGGCATGTTTCTTCTTGTTGCTCACAGCAAGTCATAAGACAAGTCCATAAAGTGAAGAAAGATTTGACCTCTTACTGAAGAAGCTGCAAAGTCACATTGCAAAGGGCTCTAGATACCGATAGGAAAAGCCATTTTTGCTGTCTTCCACAGAAGACAAGGGGGTATGCTTTGTGGGTGTAAGTGTGTTGGGAAGGATGAGTGAAGAGTGGAGGAGGTGAGAGTGTGCATAGTTTAGAAGAAGAGCAGGAGCTAGAGTGTCTAGAATTAGGTAAGGAAACTATGAGGAACAAGGACAAAATCAGATAGAGGGTTTTTACCATAATGAGGATGTGGCCTTTAATCTGAGGGAAATGAAGAACCTTTAGGAGGATTTTTCTCCATGGCTGCCATCAAGATTTTCTTTTTCTTTTATTTTCAACAGTTTGAATATGTGCTTGGTATTTTTGCTTTTCTTGTTGATACTGCTTGATTTGGTTATTTTTGTTTTTTTGTTTGTTTGTCTGTTTGTTTTGTAAGTATCTTGCTTAGGGCTCTATGAGTATCTTGGATTTATGGCTTGTTGTCTTGTATAATTTTTAGAAAATTTTCCACTTTTATTTCTTCAAACTAGAGGCCCGGTGCATGAAATTCGTGTCACTAGAGCGGGGTTCCTCAGCCTGGCCTGCCCCCTCTCCAGTCCGGGAGCCCTCAGGGGATGTCCTACTGACAGCTTAGGCCCGCTCTGGGAAG